GTGATATTCATCTACGGTTGTGTAATATTTCTACATGTTTACGGATTTCGCCATCAAATTCGTGAAGCCTATAACACTAGTTATTGGAATGGAGCACGTATTGCCATCACGTCATTCTGGGATGCGGTTGGACACGTTTGGCACGGTACGAAGTGTTCAATCGATTCTATGTAATATGGTTCTGTAGTTTGAAAGCGGGGAGCCGGCTGATTAAAAATCAGAGTAGGTTTTCAGGGATGAAGAGAAAAATCATGAGAAATGACCCAGATCTCGAGAAATGGGACTCTTTCTTCAGACATCGATTTCTGCAATGATGTAGCCTTCATCGATGCCCTCATCAACACTAACGCTCTCTATGCTAGCTCATCCCTTTGACTACTACTTACACATGGTTACCCCTTCCATAGTCAAAGGCACTACCACAGTTGTAGGACTTATTGAGATAGGAAAGCCTGCTTGATGGTGGAGTCATCACGGATGGGATTTTTTAAAAAGTTTCCACTATTTCAACAAATCGTCACAAATCAAGGCGAGTTACCCTCGATGAGTTAGTAAAGCAAGTCGTACTGAAGGTCACTGGCCAGTGCGCACAGCTCCCAAAAAAGTAGCTTTCATGTTTTGCTTTTGATACTAAAATGTGTATTCGTAAATGGTAACTAAATTGCCGCTTCATCCTTTCAAAAATATTCATCGAGCGGAGATGGTGTGGTGACAAGATGGGCCACTACCGCGCGCATGGTCCCTGGATCAAATCCCAGGTCAAACAGCGTACGTCAGCCAAATTTCTGCAGATGATTAGCTGTTGCTGGGAGCATAGTTGTTATACAAAACAAATCATAACTTAATTCCAAAAAAGTGTAGAGTAAGGGTTAAGTCAGGCGGCGGAGGTGTCAGCCAATCAGGGAGTGCCGTCGCGGTGCGGCCCTTGGGCCACTGCAACTTACCTCTCGCTACGAAACACTCCTCCCTTCTACACCCTCTGCCCACCTTTTCTTTTTTGTCGTCTCTCGCTTTCAAGGCTTAACTACAGATCATCACGAGCTGTAGAAACCTTCCATCTTCGCCCATCATCCTCACATAGCAGAAGTTTCATCGGGTTAAAGGCCCTGGAAAAATGTCGTAAACCTGCCCTCCAGTAACGAGGAAGTGCACGTTCAGAAAGTTTTAACGGTTTGAAACGTATTAGGGAGTCCCAACTTTTTTCTTTGGGGCGGCCTTAGTACAGCCCGTCTTGAGCACAATGCTCATGAATCCAGGATATATCGTACTTCAACATAGTCTTTTGCGAGATTCTTGAATTAATTTTAACATTTTCTGTGAACACAATGGAGCTTCACTTTTAACGTTACCCGTCACAAACTACCACACGTTCGTTAGAAAGTCTTCTGCAAACCAAACGTTATCTCGGGGACCTGCTCTCACTTTTTTTGGTAACAACTGCCTCTGACTGTGACGGTCGCGAAGAAGTTCACTTTGAAAATTTTCTCATTAGCTCGAAACCGTAGGAGGCGCCTTCGAGCTCGCGCCAGGAATATTCTTTTTTTGCATGTTCTCATTGTATTATTAACCCATTGGCGACATTGCGGGTCGATGTGGGGACGCAGCATAGAGATAATTCTTCTACGCAAGATTTTTAAAATTATTATAATGGCACATTAATCAGGAAGGCGTTGTAGTACTTATGGTAATCGTGGCCCATGCATATCTTTCCTAAATAATGTTTTACATAAGCGGTGCTAAAAAGTGATTTTTTAAAGCAAGGCTTGTTATTTTTAAGTGTATACGGCTGGCTTCTTGCTTTCAGTTAGCTAGAGGGCTGGTACAACTTCTCACTAGAAGAGAACGGGATTCGACCCTATTTGCCAATTCTGGAGTGGAAAATTGAAGTTCTCCTCGCTTGCTCCGAAATCCACCCTGGGCCGAACGAAAAGATTTACGCTCATTTCGGGTGCGATCGGGAAAGTTTTGAAACGTGCAAAGTCTCAACAGTGTCTGCTTTGAGATTCAACATTTTTGGTGCCAGTAGTTTGGTGCATTACGACGCATTTTTCGAAAATATAAAAAATCGCATTGTCGCCAATGGGTTAATTCGGTTTGTCCATGCAGCAGCAGAAATAGAGATGCATAACTTTTTACCTAGGATAGAGTTCTCTCCGCGAATTTATTGTACAGACGCGTCCTGTCCTGCATCCTGAGTGAAAATAAAAGCGATTCGACTCAACGCTGCTCCATCTTTGTGAGTGGCCCTTTTGTATATGATTGCCCTATTCCTCTGAGTGTGCACAAATCTTGAACTTTCACTTGTTGCTATCCCAGAGATAAGCACTCGAACGCTGAGAGCAGCGAAGGCGTCTTCGAAGAGTGGAAAGGGAAAAACTCGAGGTCGGCGAGTCGCAAATTTGAGAGTGCCCTTTGGGCAGTCACTCTGATTATGGGTGAAGCGCAGAAAATCTTCATGGCGAAGAGTTGCGATGAACGTTCCGATCGAATAAATTAGAGCTACTGACACACGCTCCATAGCCTTTCAACGGTTCAAACAATCCTGAAATACTTCACGGCCCTCAATTCTCCTCAATCGGTCAAAATCTCTCCTATATTTTCAATACCTTTATTAAAGGACGAATTCACGATGAAAAGGCAACCCATTTCAAATTAACTAGGGATGGTGAGTGGTACACGAAAGAAGGAAGAACCATGAGAAACGGCCCAGAACCCGAGAAATGGGACCCCTTCCCCGCTGATTTGCGCATTGATGCGACTCTTATCGCTGTGCCCTCCTCAACATCACGCTCTCTCTGCTATCTAATCAATCCCACGTATAGATCTGCGAGTGATCAGCTGGTCGGTGGGCGGAGATCGCCAGACCCGCCAACTTTGAGGCATAATAGGTCGCCGAGGTCAAATTTTTCGATGCGAATTGCGCATCAGTTCGCACCCTCAGGAGGTCCGTGGGTTACTCAACTAGGTGAATTACTTCTTCCTCGACCTCCATTCTAATCGTAAAATCCTCCTTTAAAGCAGCGCAAGCAACTTATCTGTGTAGCGTAGCGAAAGATTTAATCGTTGAGTAGGAGGCAGGCATCCGTCTAATGACTTCGCTCGGCAAGCTGTTCGGTACTCATTTGGTTACATTCATAGGTTGCAACTGGGACGAGAAAACTGGGGGAGGAGAGGTAGAATATTCAGCAATTGACTCGCTTGAAAGGTGCAATTGTTACCGTGAGTTCGTAGTGAGTTAAGTAATCACTTGGTATCCTTTTATTTTCGTATACGCCCCAGCTCGATGTATCCAAAGTGCTGTGAACCGCAAGAAAATCAGCAATCACTTTGATGATTGTAGTTATACACAATTATCGATTCTCTCTCGAAACGCCGAAGCAGTAAAGCCGTTTCTCATAGTTCGCACTCCGGTATTAATAGTATCTACAGTGAAAAACAGTATTGTATTTCTTATTAGGATAGCAGTAGAGTAGGAGATTGCGCTGACAAGATTAGATACGTATCGATTGAAATCGCCGGAGAGTAGTAGATTGCGATATTACGATAGTAGAGAGTGGAGATTAGGATAGTAGTAGATTAGGATAGTGCGCTGACAAGATTAGATATGTATTGATCTATTCGCTTGAAGTCGCCCAATCTACTACTCTCCAGCGATTTCAATCGATACGTATCCAATCTTGTCAGCGCAATCTCCTACTCTACTACTATCCTAATATCCTGTCGCCTACTATCCTAATCTCCCGAGTCGCGAACTATGAACGCGGCCTAAATTAAGTTTACCATTAAAGCAGCAACCTCGAATCAATTAGGTGATAGATAATGATAACAGCTATAGATAAAGGTGGGTGCAGAGTGTACTGAAAGTGAAAAATGGAAGCATAGCATCGTGCTGATGAAGTCCTCAACAAGAAGCTCTTTTTTCCCCGTAACTAACGTGGGCATGTTTAAACATTTTGTCTTGACTTGGTTTGCTCGACGGCTCAGACTAACTCACGTATATTTGAAGTCGTTTCGCTGCAATCCACGTTGCTTGTCATGGGGTGCGCGCGAGATTTCTCGTCCGTTAGCTCGCATTAGCTGTCAGCTTATTTTGTAAAGCACCACCGCCGTTGTGCCGTACCTTTTAGCCGCGACGACACCTATATAATGCCCGTGGGCTATTTTACGTTGCCCACAAAAAGATTTCACCCACAACCTCATCTTGGGTTGCTGCCTTCAACGCTTGTTCCTAGGAACATAGACACCATTTTGAAGTGTTTGAAATATTGCTATCGAGCCTGTGCTGCGAATAGATCAGAATAATTGATATACTCTTCAGATTCAGAGTAATGAAGTTGGGACAGTAAAATTATTCACACACATTATTTAGGTTATGAATTAGATGGTATCGAAAACGTGCCAGATGACGGGTCTGCCCTCTTTATTTATTACCACGGGTGTCTACCGTTGGATGTATATTACCTCATCGCTAAACTGGTACTTCACAAGAACCGCTCGCTCCATTGTGTCGGCGACAAGTTCATCTTCAAAATTCCAGGTTACTGTCTTCTACAAATTTGCTTTTTTTTCTGGTGTTGAATACTAATGAGTTATATACACAGGTTGGAATGCTATCTGTAAAGTATTCTCGATCACAGCCGGTACCGTTGAAGAATGTACTGCTCAGTTGCAAGAAGGCAATCTTCTCTGCATCGCTCCTGGAGGTCGGTATTCGTAGGTAACATGGCTTGCCTATTGAAAGGTTGTGATGATTCTGCTACATCCAACAGAAAAATCTAGTGGGCAGTACTTGATCTAGCGTTGAGTGTTAGCTTCTTGTTTCATAGACACATTCCATGGTCACTCTATAAGAAATGAATCCCTGCGCGAGAAAGGTAGAGTGTTCTGCGAGCGCACTTGCTCTAGCGACTTGATGGCGCAAACCTGAAGCGTCAAAGGTCAAGTGTTACTCTCGTAGTTGCATCTATCTGCGATAGGAATTGAACCCATAGGCGCATCTGCGTCTTGCTCTTCTGCTTGTTCTCTCGTTTCCTCGATTTTCGTATCCTCGCACCCGCTTCCAGTGTTTCTTCCCCATGAGTTTGCTTTACGCTGAGAATAAAGTGCGAACAGGATTCTTTGTTAACGCAGTTTTGGCATTCACCGTGGATTCTTTACTGTTCTTCGACTCCTACCATATTATCTAGCTAAAATATCTTAGAATTATGGAAGAGTCTGTGATACTGTATGTTGCAGGTGTACGTGAAGCGCTTTTCTCCGATCCCAATGTGTATGATATATTATGGGGAAAGCGTTTGGGATTCGCTCGAGTGGTAATAAATTCGAGGACGGTAAGTGATCTCCTTTGTGATAAAATGTTGAGTTTGAGAATCTGATGTAATCATAGATATCAAAACTGGCTGCTTTTCCTCTTTCTCCCTCTTTGTGGTCGAGCCTTAAAGGGCCGTAAAGATTTGAATAGTTTTGCTCCATGGAATTAGATGTGAACGATGAGGAATGAATGTTACATAGAGTAACTTTCATGGGGGTTCATCACAAAGAGGGACAAAGAAGTGCTTTGAATCCCACCGGCTACTTCTGTTCTAGCGAATTTTTGTCGACTTCTACTGCTTCGAGTCTGTGTCGTTACAGGATTCCTCTAAATTCGCTTCCGCACCATAAACTGCCAGAATATCGGAAGTTGGATGCTCCAACATATCGTAGAACGCCGCGGCGTCCACTGGCTAGTGAAACGCTTCTTCAGTCATCGGCCTTTTTGCTCATACTGCCCTGATGTAACAATTTGGGAGATACTAACCATAAGGCCACTAGCGCGAGTTCAATTACTTTTTGGTAGCTGTGCACACTGAGCAGTAACCTGCGGCATGACTTGGTTATTTTTTACCCAGGGTGGCTCGCTTTGACTTCTGACACTTGCTGACAGAGTAAGAATTACAAAGTTTCTAGTTGTGCACAATTCCGCCATAAAGCGGGCCCTCCTGATCTCAATAAGTGCCAAAACTGTGGTAGTGTCTTTGACTACGGAAGTGGTACACATGTGTACCAACAGTAGTCAAAGGTTTAAGCTACGTATTTGGTCGTATTCACTTTCAGTACCTGGGCATGGCACAAAATTTCAAATTTGAAGGAGAGATGATTGTTGATACTGTAAGCTCATGCATTTTGCGATTACGCGGGGTCGTGGCGTCGCCGTTGTACCGCTACTTTTTCCACATACAGATCCATGCTATGATATGCGACACAGGCGCCACTCGGGTTTGTCTTGGTCATTGGGGCAATCTTTGGTGTGGCCTGTTTGTGCTCGATTGTCCTGCACAAACGGTGCACTTACTAGGAACCATTGTAGTATTGGTGTATGTGTGGTGTGCAAAACTTAAGGACGAGACATATGAAGTATCACAACGTTCTGATTAGGGTCATGTTACGCGCCAGTAACACGTCGTTGGAAAAGCCACGTTCGTCCCTAAGTTTTTGCACACCAGTGTATTATTTATGTACATCTCTGTGTCACTAAACGACACCTGCTGTGTAGTTAAGGAATGGGAGGAGGTTAATGTGGGTGAAAAGTACCCTGAGCCCTGACAAGGGCAATGCGAAGTGCTCTAAATTCATATCATCTGAGAGGTTGGACGTCCTAACTCCACCTCCCATCCCGGTTCAACACAGATTGGTGTGTAACATAATGCAGCTATATTTCCAGCCAGTGATCCCGATGTTCACAGAAAATTGCCGAGAGTCATTCCGTACTCCAGTATGGGGACGCAGCTTCTTTCGATGGATCTATGAGAAGACGAAAATGCCGCTGTGTCCGATTTATGGCGGTTTTCCTGTCAAGATGATCACTCATCTTGGCAAACCTATGACGTTTGACTATGATAACGTCACACCAGAGGAGGTCCAGCAAATCTTCAATGGATATTTTCTTCATGTTGATTGATGTAACAAGTCTATTTTGAGTGATTGACAGGTACGCCGGCAAATCAAACGAGAAGTACGTGCGTTGATACGAAAGCATCAACGTCTTCCTGGTAGGTAGCATTATTCGAGGTATCGCGCAGCGATTCCGACCGAAAAAATCTCCACAGCGTGAGGTGCTGCCAGAGCAGATTGTGAGTGACAGCCATTGGTGATGTAACTGTTATTGGATTTTTGTTTAGTTTGTTTTCGGCACTTGCCTTTGCCTTTGCACTTCCCCTTCTCTATTTATCCCGTGTGCAGCTACGGTTCACCATGGATTTTTCCTCTATATTTTTTTACAATGTATCGAGCAAAAGTGTATTCATTCGTAGATCCTCAGCCTAGTTCCAGTGCGGTGAGATAGACTAGTAATGTGACTAACTGATTTCATAATCTGGAAGAATTCTGTGAAATGCGATCACGTAAACCTTGAGTTAATTAGGAGTTAAAGGACTTAAATCACTTTTACAGGCTAATGAAGCATGCAATCAGCTGTTCTCCTCGTGGAGACAGTGTCTAGAAAAATTCATTAGATAGCGCAAAGTTTCTGCATTTTTCAGCAAAAAAAATTGTTCGTACGAAATAAAGCTGGTACTAGCATAAACGTAGGTTCAGCGAATATGCAGGACGCGCAAATACAATCGGACCTTAATATCTGCGCAGCTTGCGTTTCTTTAGATTTTGTGATTTCCCCTGATCACAAGGGACGCGTTTTTCTTTCATTAGGCCAAATCGATGAAGAGGCGAGATCATCTGCACCATTTGCAGAAGCAGCTGTGACTAAGGTGACTGCAGTAACCTTTTCGGTTCGACTTGTCACCCGATACAGATGTTCGAGCACCGCCCAGGTGGGCTTTATCCTTAAGATTTTAACCTCTCGCAGCTAACCTATGGGTTCACTGTAATCTCGACGTTTGTTAGATCAGATAGGTTGGAAGGAATATGAAATACGGAACGTGGGACGAGGAAGTGTGCTGAAAAGGTTTGAAGTGTGTGCTTTCCGAATTTGCACTGGACCCCCATTATAGCAAGTAGTCACTTCAAAAGCACGGTACTTTTGTCAAATTTTTCCAAAATTTCTATTTCCTGGCATCTTTCTCCAAATTCACAAGCGACACGCCGTGCCCTTGTGTTAATCCTTAGAAACACTATCACTTACGTGAATCTTATCGTGCTGTTTTCATTATCTAATTTTCGACTTTGGGTTTTCGCATCCATATTTCTTCAGAGGATACATATTGTGACAGCTGATAGTTTCATCAAAGATCCCTCTCGAAGTGACGCATGTCGGTGAACCACACTATTCTTATCGTTTTGCAAATAAGTGGTCGAAGACCAACTAATGGATGTGCTTTTGCTCGATGTTGAAAATTTCCTCAATTGTGCATGTTGCGAGTGGCTGTAAAATGTTGCCTAGATCGCTTTTTCAACCAATCCTTCATCAGTGGTAAGTCCCATAGAAATTCAACGCCTGGTGCTAACGCATACTGTGTTCATTTTCAATGTGGGATTGAAATAATAGTGGTGATGCTTGTGGTGGCTTTTGGGTTGGAGTCTTTACTTTGTTTCAGCAACCTTGCATGTTGTAATTACAGGCGGTAGTTCACGTGGTGATAGGCTCGGGTACCCGACAGTAACCGTCGCCGCACGGTAAGTTCCCTGTCAGGCACCCGTTCGCCATGGAAAAAAAATCGAAGTGTTGTCGCCTTTTCAGTGCTATTGTTGCTATTAAGGTAACAGTCCCAGAAGGGTTTTTCCCTACAATAGTAATGGTGTGGAACGATGCGCTAGACCAAGTCAAGAGCATAAAAAGTTGACTAGGGCTAGCGCATCGTTCCACACCATTACTATTGAAGGGAAAATCTTTCTGGGACTGTTGCTTTACTGTCATGTGCGTTGCTAGATCTGCTCTGCTCAGCTGCACATTACCAATCGCGGCCTTCTGCACGCTTTGCGAGCTTTTCTCGAAGCTTTCAACTAAGAAAAACACATCAGTTCCTTTGTTTGAGTGGTGTGCCTTGCCTAAACCGATTTGCATGACAAGTTCATTTCGTTCGTTAAAGCAACAGTCCCAGCAGGTTTTCAACCATCCGACACTGAATGGTTCGCGCACACCAACTCACTCCACCCACCTAGTCAAAAGCATATGAAGTAATACTGAACAAAGGGCTCACACTTTGAAAGCCACTAAAAAGGAACTGCATCGTTAGAATGGCCCGTGAATCGGCCCCCCGTCATGTGCTCCCCCCCGTCTGCTGTCCGCCAACCGACACAACACGCCCACTTCGAAGCTGTTCGGCTCCCTTTCTAGCGGCTTTCCAAGTTAAGTTTTTTTGTTCATTCACACTTCTTATGTTCTTGACTAGAGCTAGTGCATCGTTCCACACCAATTAGTGTCGATAGGTAAAAACCCTGCTGGGACTTTCGCTTTGATTGGTTGTTCATAGAATCGCAGCTCGTCAGTCTGATGAGCTCACCCTGATGTTTAAGGAACTGCTAAGCCGATCAAATGGACAATCAAACGGTGCGACGGCACAAGAGGACAACCCTGCCACCACCAGTGATGCGACCACGTAGCTCATGAAGCTGTATACTACTCACTGTAGTGCTTCTATGTCACCTCGTCACCTTCTCTTGTGCAAAGTTCGGCTCAGTCGAGTCCACCGAATTCTGGCCTCAAAAAGATGAGGTGATGTGTTCGAGAGAGCCTCAATCCCTTGAAGAATCCATTCAGGACGAGGCGATTCAATACCATAAGAGCGCTTTTGTTCTAAACCCTGATCTGTGATTTTTTTCGATTTCAAACAGCACTTACCCTTTGAGAGTTGTCTTCCTCCTCATTGTTCTCGCTTTTTGAATACTTGTTATTTGACATTTGCTAGTTTGTACCTGTGTTGTTATCTCCTGATTGGGGCTGTTACTCGAGGGCAGTAGTTGCGCTGAGCCTAGAGCGTGTCCTTTTTAGGCATCACGCTTTGGTGCATGTTGTCAGGGGTATCTTCCCGTTCCTCCCCATACCACGCTCGCGCACCCTGCCATCCACGATAGCATTTGGTTATTGTCGTCGAGGTGTTTTCGTAGACCCATACCAGCGTATTTGAATTAATCGTTATTTTAATGAACTCAAAAGAGCTAATAATCGAAATGTAATGAGCTCGACGTCATCTCATGCTTTCTTGGATTCCTACTGCATCTATACTAAAGCATAGATAGCTGTGACCTGTTGTTAGCTCCCCACACACATTGTATATATTGAGCTATACCTGTGATTCTAGGTATTCCAATGGCTTCATGTATGTAATAAATGGCTTGAGGTTTCGGGCTTGGAATTTGCACGTGTCACCAAAAACTGGTTGAAAAAAATACCCTAAAAGAGAACGTACAATGAAAAAAAAAAACTGTCTGTCTTCGGGCGAGATGAGAACGGGAATGTCCGAAAATAAAAGGTGCATTGGCTTGGAGGCGTACCGAAGTAATGGCCTTTATTGATGGAAGAGCGCTAAGAGGCAGTTTCTTTCACCAGTGTCAGCCGTTTGTACTATTGCAACGGAAAGGGTCGTATTTTGCACATGGAATGGGAGATCGTGAGCCCAATTGACTAATCACTCCATCTCGTCACGTCTTTCCGCTTCATCGCTCCTTTATAAAAGGACTCTGCGAAGCACGGAGATGTCGTGGTGAATGACATTACCAAATTTATTTCCCGCTAGATCGACTCGGGAAAGGAGAGCACTACCTGTGGTCGCAAGGAGAATGGCGAGCATGTCAGGTTCATTCAGTCTCAATGGGACCATATGGCATCGTTGGCCTTGTGCTTTCATCATAACAGGGGTTCAGATGGGGCTTAGGAGGGATTTAGCTTCCAAAGGCCTCGCAACTTTGAACCACTTGCGTGTGCTTGGCGCGTCCCAGAGCCGGACCTGTTTGCGGCCGGCTTCAAATTTGACTCACTACGAGCGAAAAGTCAGCCTTGGACACATCTCGGTGTATTCGAAACAAACAGGCAGCAGGCAAGTGTAATGACGTGGAAGGATTGCTTCTTGAGGATGAAAATAAAAGGTTAGAGAGGCCAGATTTCCGGAACGCGCCTCTTCAAGACGAGTTTGATATCATTCAGAAAGCACTAATTTTGCAGTTCTCAAAAACGTCCTCCCTTCTCCATTGAAGCTTCTTATGAAAATTTAAGTTAGTCTTGCAAGCTCAAGAACTCAAACGTCAAAGCGTAAGATTTTTTTTTTCAGAAAGTAAACCTCGAAAAACTGCTGAACACCTAACAATCTCAAATACACTTCTTTGCCACGCATAAAGGTTGCTGCAGGAACGAAAAAAGATAGTTATGACCCTAAAAGCCCAGGAACCCGTTTTTGCACTAACAAGTGCGAGCGAGGGTTTTTCTCCAAGACGTGAGCTTTCATAAATCTACTACGTACTCGTTGGAGAGAAAACTATTTGATCGTCCACTCCTTTGTATAGCTTCACAAAATCTCGCATTTGAAAGAAGTAATGGCCTTCGAGAAAAGAACTGCTTAATGTGTTGCATCGCGGCGTTGAGATTTGATATTATCACCTCATATGTTCTTTAGCTCCAATTTTTTAC